GATGTTGTGGAAGAGTGTGGCTCTGTATACCATGTAAGATGTGGTGGAAGCGTTCCTACTCCCGATGGGAGCCGCGTGTGTTTATTTATGGAAGACAGGAACAGCCCCTGTCGTGACGTACAAGTCTACGATGATCGCTAGGACTCATCGATACATGAGGAATCAGAATAGGAAATGAGAAGAAGAGATAGAGGGAAGGTTAGATTACAGAAGGTTAAACGGTATTCTAACAGGTTGCTGCATCAAAGCGGACACCACTGTTTTGGTTGATGCTCTTCTTATCTTGGGCGATCGTGTAAAATGTATTCCCATTTATCTCGTACCCTTTGAAAGTCATTATATTTGAAGATGGTAACTAGGACAGCAAATACAGGTCATCCTCAACAGCGGCGTCATGCATGGCTGCAACCAACCGGCGAAAGTCCCCGTTTGTTCACGTGTATCCAGTCGTCAGACTGTTCCGGGTGTTTGGAGCATAGAATATTCTTGTGTTCCTCCATATACGGAGCCACCAAGGTGAAATTTTGTAGAACTGTGTAGTGTGCTTGAGTGAGAGAAAGCCCGTCCATACATATTATTTGTTTCGGTCCTAGCATGCCATTTCCACCCGGTCTTCCCTTATGACGCGATCCAGGAACACCAATCGGCTTAAGGTCATGAATAAAGTCAATACAAAACTCAATGACCTCCTAATTTTCATGGCCCTTGGAGATGCTTCCTTCTGGCCTAGCACAGTTATGAACATATTTCTTTAAGACTCCCATGAACTTCTCAAAGGGGAACATATTGTGTAGAAATACAGGACCCAGAACGTTAATCTCTTCGCATAGGTGAACTAGGGCGTGCGTCATGATGTTGAAGAAGGATGGTGGGAACACCAAATCGAAACTGACAAGACATTGCACCAAATCATTCTCTAACCTTGGTATGATTTCTGGATCGATTACCTTCTGAGAGATTGCATTGAGGAATGCACATAGCTTCACAATGGCTAATCGAACGTTTTTCGATAGAAGCCCCCTCAATGCATCCGGAAGCAGTTGCGTCATAATCACGTGGCAGTCATGAGACTTTGGGTTCTGGAACTTTTTCTCTGTCGTATTTATTATTCCCTTTATATTCGATGAGAAACTAGACGGTACCTTCATACTGAGCGGGCATTCAAAGAAGATTTCCTTCTCTTCTTTGGTAAGAGTGTAGCTGGCATGACCCTGATGTATGCCGTCCTTTACGTGCATATGTTGCTGGTCCTCCCGTGCCTCCAGTGTATCTTTTGTCTTTCCATACACGCCCAAGAAGCCAAGCAGGGTCATGCAAAGATCATCAGCGGGTACCATCTGCACTTAGACCAAACCATACGTTCCTTGCGTCACCTGCAAAGTCCCCCCACTTCCTCTCGATTTTTCTCCACTGCGACCCGTCAGCGGGTACTCTCAACTCCCCGTCTTTCTTACGGTCTTCTCTGTGCCATCGCATCAACTTGGCATTCTCTTTGTTTTGGAAAAAACGTTTCAACCATGGTATTATAGGAGCATACCACATCACCTTGGCAGGAATCTTCTTCCTGGGGCGCTCGCCCTCGACATCACCAGGGTCATCGCGGCTGATCTTATAGCGCAATGCACCGCATACCATGCACACGTTCAAATCCTCGTACTCACCGCGGTAGAGGATGCAGTCATTAGGGCATGCATGTATCTTCTGCACCTCTAATCCTAGAGGGCAGACAACCTTCTTTGCTTCGTACGTACTCTCGGGAAATTTATTGTCCTTTGGAAGCATCTTCTTTAACATTATCAGCAACTTTCCAAATCCCTTGTCAGATACACCGTTCTCTGCCTTCCATTGCAGCAATTCCAGTGTGGTGCTCAGCTTTTTCTTGTCAGCTTCGCAATTCGGGTACAACAATTTCTTGTGATCCTCTAACATGCGCTGCAACTTCTTCTTCTCCTTTTCACTTGCGCAGTTTCTCTTTGCATCGGCAATGGCCCGACCTAGATCATCAGCGGGCTCATCTGATGCCTCTTCTTCAGCTTCTTCCCGCATTGCCGGCTCACCTTCTTCCCACATTGTTGTACCATCGTATTCAGGGAACCCATGGCCAGGATAGTTGTTGTCGTCTTTTTCTTCTTCATTGTCTTCCATCATAACCCCCCTTTCTCCGTGCTTGATCCAAACACTATAGTGAGGCATGAAACCGGACTCAAATAGGTGCCAGTGAATGGTTTTTGACTTAGAGTAATTCCGATCATTCTTACAGCCAGCACATGGACAAAACATAAAACCATCCGCCCACTTGTTTGCCTCAGCCGCAAGCAGAAAAGTATGCACGCCATTAACGAACTAGGGAGAGCATCAGTCATCGTACATCCATTGTCGGCTCATCTTCATTACACAGCACCGAATAGACCAAATTAATATAAGTTCATACATAAAGTTCATACAACACTTATTATCATAAAACAACATACAAACTCTCTAGCTAAAGCATTTAAATGCAACAACAAATGCGATCAAGATCTCAACTACGGTAACAATTGATCCAACAACATAATGATACCAAGCCTCACTATCGATGGCATATTTTCTAATCTTTCTAATCTTTAGTTTTGCATTTTCACAGTATATACCAACAAAGCTAGCTTAGACTAAATTTATTAGTATTGTGTTGAAGCTGCAGCGCGAAGCTTTAGCACTTAACTACTCTTGCTTCTATGTCTCTAGAGAGAGCACATTTTTTAGTCACCTACTAGAGAGCTACTTAAGAATCATGTGCAGTTTTATCATATTTTTATTTATATACTTTCTACCACTTATTCTCCGAGTACATAATTAGGAAATGCAGAACATTGACATCAATGGTCGTATGTGTATGCAACTGTCTTTATCTTATTATACGTACTACAAGGATTTCTCACTTTGTTTTATTTGGCTTGGGCAATTTATTTCCTGGTGCTTATGATTTTTGATAGATTATTGAGATGGAAGCGAGCTTTGCTAGAGATACAGATTGATTTTAATAGTTTTCATGTGAGATTTTTATAAGTTCCGTGCCATGTTTCATTGCTTGGCTACACAATTACCTTACCTAGAATCATCTTATGTGCATATATTGGTTGTGCCATCATAATCATTTATTTATCCAAAAAATCCAAAAGTATCAATTTGCATTCACCGTGAAGAATTTTCACTTCACTATTTTCTGTGTCTATACATATATAAATGACGTGGTTGTTTTTTTGTGGAGATCGTGTTATTGTGCAGAAAGTTTGTGCTCTTATGCATAGTTGGTTTTTCTAGAGAATGTGGTATTGTGGATTATGCTTCTTTTACTTACATGTTGTTGTTAAAACAGATACATGCATAATCGTTTGCCCAAAACAAAGCATGCCTAGCGTCAGAGTCGAACCTATAGTTGTGTGAGCATCGACGCTGTTGGGCATGGAAGCTTTAGATAGAAGATTTCGAGCACTAGCACGTGTCTAGCCCATGTTTGACCTGGCCAATTTTGATTCATAGAACCAAGTGTTTTCTTCCGTTGCAACGCGCCGACATTTGTGCTAGTAACCTTTCATGGGAAGATAGTGTGTCATTTCCCTATTAGAGTTGGACTACTTGATGTATGTGTTGTATTATTGGCATGGTCGTAACAAGCAACCATAAATATTGTTTTTGATTTCTTTGGGATGAAGACTTTTATGTGACAACCATATGTTTACTAATACATAGTGGGGTTTCGGAAACTGATGGTTACTTTTGTTTATTGACAAAAAATTATTGTGATCTAGGAGCTTTTAGATTACAAGTCCCTATTTTGTTTGGATTCATGAACCATGGGAGTGGACTTTCATTCGATGCCACTAGCTCCTGTGATGCACCGTGTGAACATGTACCCTTTGTCACATCTATCCATCCTTTTGTGCTCGATATCTACCGTGTATGAACATTACATTCTTTAGTTGCCTTGTATATGAACACATCTTTCAAATGTGTTGTGCTATTATTCTGGTGACTATGGAGATATATTGTACTACACGAATGTTTGTTCTTTTCTTTATTCTGTTATATCCTAATAAAGCCTGGTGTTCTATTAACTTGACCATTACTTGTTTTGCCACATCGTTGAGACCGGCACCCTCGCGCCAAGGCGCGATTCCGATCTTGTACATGGTATGGGCCAGCGAGCATGAGATGAGACTGACGTGTGGGGCCCACTTCACTTGGGGTCGAACCAGAGCAAGAGCACCCACGGAAATCTTGTGCCCGGCTCCTCATTCCCGCACCAAACCGGCCGTCGTGCGTTCCCCTTTACCTCGCCGCCGGCGCCACCCCGCCGTCGCGCCGCCATGCTCTGCCTCCGCCTCCGTTCCCGTGCCCTCTCCCAGCTCCTCTCGTCCCCCTCCTCCTCTCCTATCTCCCAGCTCCACCGCCTCCTCTCTGCCGCCGCGCCCGTCGTCTCCCCAAACCCTAGCTTCGCCGTCGAGGATTACCTCGTCTCCACCTGCGGCCTCACCCGAGCGCAGGCCCTCAAGGCGTCCGCGAAGCTCTCCCACCTCAAGTCCCCCTCCAAGCCTGACGCCGTCCTCGCCTTCCTCGCCGGCCTCGGCCTCCCCGGCGCCGACGTGGCCGCCCTCGTCGCCAGGGATCCCAAGTTCCTCTGCGCCGGCGTGGAGACAATACTGGCCCCCAACGTCGTCGAGCTCACCGGCCTCGGTCTCTCGCGTTCTGACATCGCGCGCCTCGTCTCGGTTGCCGGCAATCACTTCCGCTGTAGATCCGTGGTCACCAATCTGCAGTACTGCTTGTGCCTCCTCGGGTCCTACGAGAATCTCCTCTCTGCTATCAAGCGCAAATCCTACATTCTCTCGTCCAACGTCTAGAGGGTTATCAAGCCCAACATCGCGGTCCTGCGAGAGTTTGGGCTTGGTCCTTGTGATATTGCCAAGCTGTGCCATGCTCAGCCATGGCTCCTCACCTGCAACGCAGAGCGTGTCCGGGCGATGGTAGTGTGCGTCGAAGGTCTGGGTGTACCCCGTAGATCTGGGATGTTCGGGCATGCGCTGAATGCTGTTACATTTGTCAGCGAAGAGAAAATCGCCGCCAAATTGGAGCACTTGAAGAAAACGTTCAGGTGGTCGGATGCTGAGGTGCGCATTGCTATTTCTAAGGCTCCAATGGTGCTGAATAGGGCTAAGGAGTTTCTGCAGAGAAAGTCAGAGTTCCTGATCTCTGATTTGGGGTTGGAGCCGGCATACATTGCTCATCGCCCGGTAATGCTTTTGTACAGCCTGGAGGGCCGGTTAAGGCCCCGGTGCTACGTTGTGAAGTTTCTTAAGGCAAATGGATTGCTAGGTCCTGATCGAGACTTGTATTCCGCAGTCGCATTGAGTGAGAAGTTATTCATAGAGAAGTACATATGCCCTCACAAGGAAGCTGCACCCTGCTTAGCTGAAGACTATGCTGATGCTTGCAAAGGGCTAGTGCCAACTAATTTCAGAATTACATGAAGCAAGGACGTGCTGTGGAAATTGGTAACTGTGTATGACTATGACAGAGTTTTTACCATTCCTAGTAAACTGGTAATTCACATTAGTGTGTTTTTTTCCTAAATAGAGATTGATTTTTTGCTGTAGTACGCATTCCACATGCTGGTTTGCTTGTTGCTAATGCCTAATGAATTGATAGTTTAATTCATGAACCCTGTGGTGTTGATGTAATGATGTTCGTCGTTAAGTAGACGTGAAAGCATCGCCTACAATCTCTGGAATCGAGAGTCCATGAATATATTTGTGTTTCCAACTTCCATTTAGGATAATGAAAGTGAATATGTGAGTAGACCAATTTTCTTGTGAAACCAGAACCCAGAGGCCTTTTGATTTTTTTTCCCCATTATCCTTCTAAGGTTGAATATCTTTGTTCCTGAATCCTGTACCTGATTTTACTTCCGCTGAGAAAATTTTCAAATTTGATAAGGTAATCTATTTGGGACTATAGCATGGTCAACAATGAATTAGTCTCATCATTTACATCTGTCATAGTTCGTCAGAACTAGAGGGCCAGTTCAGGCCCTGATACTATGGTGTAAAGTTTCTCAAGGAAATGGATTGCTCAAGTGCGACCTGAGCTACAATACAGTTTCCATGGTGGCCCAGAAGGTTTTCATCGAAAAATTTCATATGCCCTCATAAGGAAGCTGCCCCGCACCGCGCTAAAGAATATGCTGCCGCTTGCAGAGGGGAAGTGCCCCGACCTAGCATTTCCATTGGCGCTAGCTGTTTCTGTTACAAAAAATACTTGGCTGTTCCACGGATACTCAGAATTTTGGTTAACTCCCCTTTTGAAAGCCTTATATTACTTGAGCTTTTTCAAGCACAGAAAGATAGGTCATGCTGTTTCCTTTGCAATATTAAATGAACTTTAGATGCATTATATATCTTGAGGGCTGTTAGGACTGAAGTTCTAGCCATTGGATACATTTTATGCCAATATCTACAGATACATGTTAAACTTGGACTCTTGGAGTTAACAAGTTGCCGTTGCGGTTGACACACTTGAGTTATTTTCCCTTCTTTCTTTGATTTGTGTCAGTCCTGTTTGCACGCAATCACATGTTTTGGTTGAGTAGATAATTAGAGGTGACATGAGCTAGTTGCTGTTCATCTGGTAGCACAAGCAAAAAGACCTGGGAAGCAAAGGAGGTGATAATGGTCCATGTAGCATTATTTATTGGGTTTAATTCCATTACGCGCATGGTACAGCATATCAGTCGAATTCCGGAGGGCTTGATGATCCTTGCCTCCTCTGTACTGACATTCTATACATGCTTTGCCTTCAGGGGCTAATCAGTAACATCAACAGAGCGGAAGATGCCCTGCATACTTATTTGATTAGACTCGGTTGTGGTGCTTTCCTGATTCCAATCGTTCTTTCAGGTAGCAGCAGCCTTTTGACTTAAAAAGCTTGGCTACTGTGGTCATTGGGTGTATTCATTCTCTGTGCCAACTAGAGAAGACATGGCATGCACATAGGCTGTACTACTTGTTGAACAGGGAATGTTTACCTGGAAATAGTGTTTTAGTCTAATCCACCCAAACTCCGTCTTCAGTTTACTGAATTTAGATGCTGTCTTCTTTCTATCGTGAGAAGATGTTGGATGCAGATGCACGCCGCCTGAGTGAGGTCGCTTCGGGGCACACTGCAGACATGTATTGCAGTCAGGCTCCACTGTTCAAAGTTTTTCGGTTTCGATTTGCTTACAGAATTTCTTTTGCTTGGGCTAGAATAATCTAAGTAGTGGTGGGAGCTTGTGGTTTATCGAGCTGCAGCGTTGTGAGCTTTTAGTGGTGCGTACGAATGGGAATGGTGACTGCAGCTTGTCATGATCTCTTCTTCTTGGTTGACAGTTCTTCATGCTATAGCTGTTTAGAAGAGAGCAAAGTTTGAGCTGGGGAGATGGTTTTGAGCATGTATGCCCATTTTTATTGCAGGGCAAGTGTTTTGCTTATATGCGCAGTGCCATGGGAATCCATTGACATGATCCAGGTGCTGATCAATGTAATCATAACTCTCCTACAGACAGAAAGGTCATCACTTACTGACTCAAATCAAAAGACAGCAGCACGCGAAATGCACGTGTGTTCCGCAGCACGGCAATTCCGGTCGGGGTGCTTGTGACTCGCGTCAAAGCGGAAACTTCGCTGTGGTGCCTTGCCGGGGCGAAATATTTGTGTAATATAATGCCGCGAGAGTGATGCTTGTAACCTGGTCTTTTGGCCTAGACTCTTAAACCTTCTTCTTATTCAATGAAAATGGCAAGCCTTTTGCCTTGTTTCAAAAAAAAAAGACAGCAGCACTGCATTGCATCCTTTATTCTTTCATTTCTTTTGATTGTGTGGTTGGTCAGGCAAGTTATCTCTCAGATTATGTCTTTCAGCGCAAACCGGAGTCGATTAATTGATTTATAGTGTGTGGTATGTGATGGGCTCAACTCCACTGTTGGTGCTGTAAAACTCTCAGTTCCTGACACCCCACATTTCTGAAGACACATACGCGTACTGCCTACAGTTTCAGCAGCGATGTAGTGGCTTGTGCCTGTCAGTTGGGTAGAAGTAGTGCAGCTTGACTGTTTCCTTTGTGCAAGGTTGAACTCGTTGCCGGCTCCGAGATCTTAGACCACACCGACAGCGGTATGGGTGGAAGAAAGGTGCCCCATACATATATTATACTACCTCTGTAACAAAATATAAGACGTATTTTTAGGCTAATTGATACGGAGGGGGTATGAAGTTACAAAGTTTTTTCTTTTCGTTAGAGGATTTGCATCATCAGGTTTAATAAGCGGCTAATTATGTACTACCATCATGTCTCAAGCTCGAGTTTTTACCGGTCTTTCTTATTTGAGAAAGGGTTCTCACCATTTTATTTTAGGTAGTTTCTCAATTGCTATTTCTTGATATTTCTATTAAGATTGTGTTAGACCTTGTCTTTAGCTTTCCAACAAACTTAATTTCGTCGAATTCAGAGTTCATTTGCAAAAGTTGTGACCGTTTCAATTTTACCAGCTCCCGCATCTCTCTGCCTACTGCGGGTGCCCGAGATCACCTGAGCCCCTCCATAGACACCTCTCTGACCTGTCCGGGTGCCCGGGGTCACCCGGGCCCCCTCCCGAACCTCATCTGATCACCCCGGGTGCCCGGGCTCCTCCGCCACCTCCTCTCGGCCCCCTCCGGGTGCCTGGCCCTTGTGTGTCCGGGTGCCCTGGGTTGTATGGCTTTTTCTTTGTTGGGTCCGAGTGCCCGGGGGTGGCGG